CTCACCACCGGATGACCCGAAGAAGGCCGATGTGATCGTGCGTGACCCAGACAGTGGAGAGACCTGGATCACAAACACGACTATCACCGACCCTGTGCTACGGAACCGGGACCCCACAGCCCGCAAACCCCCAGGCTGGGCTGCAAGGGAGGCTTAGAAGTGGAAGGAAAGGGATTACTACCGGCACACAGAACACGTGGTGTTCTGCGCCCTGGCCGTCGAGACCTATGGGGCAAACGCGCCCCCCACGACGGCGTTCCTGAAGCTGCTGGCCACAGCAGCAGCTAGGAACCGGTTCAGGGCCAACCCCCTGGCGAAATCGGCCAAGAAGATGGCCTGCCACTTCAGCCAGCGCTGGTCAGTGGCCCTCCAGCGCTCCCAGGCGAATGCCCTGCACACCAAGGCCAGGACGGGGATTGAGGCAGCGCACCCCCAGATGGCAGCGGACCCATGGCCGCTGCACCTAGGGAACATCCTCCACACGCTGGAGGGTTAGAGGGGCACTAAGGGGGGGGGGGGGGGGAGGAGGGTCAGAGGGATGGGTTGATGGGTCGGAAGGTATAAGGGAACCACGAGTCAAATTGTATGTCTGTACCCCCTGCTGAATTAATACAAAGGACCATTTGAGAGAGAGAGAGAGAGTGAGAGAGAGAGAGAGAGAGAGAGTGAGAGAGAGAGAGAGAGAGAGAGAGGAAGAAGCAGTGAACAACAACCCCCAACCACGCCACGTACCTGACACCACGGGAAAGCTGGCGAGAGCCGAGGGATTGGCGAAAAGGGGAAATCTAGCGAAGTCCCTCCAGTCGCTAACTGCCACGCCCGTCTGCTCGCCAACCCCTGACGTTTTGAGTGCGCTCACGGCCAGGCACCCAAGGGCAACCGCGGCTATCCCAGACTGGGTGCAAGACTTTGCCCCTGAGACTCTGCCCTCAATCACAGCTCGCGATTTCAGGAAGCTGCTTGCCCGTTGCCCCAACGGCGTAGGGGCTGGGCCATCAGGGACCACCTTCGAGCACCTGAGGGATGCGGCCCTTGGGAACGCCGACGTCCTCTTGCAACTGCACGCGCTTACCAACACGGCGCTAGCGGGTAAACTGAACGCCGAGGCTGCAGATCTACTCACCGCTTCGCGTCTGCTCGCCTTCACGAAACCCCAAGGCGGAACTAGGCCAATAGCCGTGGGTGAATGTCTGCTGCGTATTGTCACAAAGGCGGCGCTCTTCCTGGCCGCTCCTGCAGCGCGCGACCACTTCACCCCGCTACAATTCGGTGTGGCGATCGCGGGGGGCATCGAGGCAGCGATACACGCGGCCCGCACCTACCTGGAGGAGTTCCCTGGAGCAACGGCCCTCCAGATTGACCTGGCAAACGCTTTCAATGCCGTGGAGCGCGCGGCGGTGTTTGAAGGACTGAAAGGCACGAAGCTTGACACCCTGGTCCCCCTCGTCCGCCTCTCATACAGCCGCCCATCAGCCCTCTACCTCGACCACGACTTCGAGGCGGCGCCTCTACAGAGCGCGCGAGGCGTGCGCCAGGGTGACCCACTAGGTCCTATGCTGTTCGCGGCCAGCATCCACCCCTGTCTCGCTGCAACGGCGACGGCCCACCCAGAGGTGGTGCTCCTCGCGTACGCAGATGACATCACCCTGCTAGGCGAGACCGCGAGCTGCACGGCGGCCTTCAACCACCTCACGGAAGCCCTTCTCAGCCACGGCCTGTCCCACAACCCCGCGAAATGCGAAGCATGGTCCGCCACAGCCCTGGAGCCCGCCGCTCTGCCCCACGGCGTCACTATCTCCCGGGACGGGATCCGCGTCTTGGGCAGCCCGATTGGGCCCCCCGCCGGCTGCGCTGCCCGAGTGCGGGAACGCCTTACTGCTGCTGCTGAACCGCTCCCGCTCCTCTCCCAGATGGACCCGCAACTCTGCCTGCTCCTACTTACCCGCTGCGTGAGCCGCCGCGCTTCATTCATGGTCAGAACCACGCCGCTTGAAGCCCTACCTCTGAGGGAATGGTCCGCCTGGGGGGAAGAACTGTTCCATACCTACCTTGCCGCAGCACACACAGAAATCCCCAGAGCCCGGGTCGAGAGGGAGAGGATTTGGCACCAGGCCGCCCTGCCCGCGTCCCTGGGAGGCCTGGGCATCACCAACCCTGCAGTGGAGGGGGGACATGCTTACCTGGCTGCAGTCACTGCTGCTGCACACCTGCTGCGCTCCTTCGGCGACGCGGCAAACCCTGCTCTCACTGGACTCCTGCCGCTAATGGACTCCAACGAGGAATCTACGTCCCTCCTCCCAAGGCGCCTTGCCACTCTGGAAGCCGAGCTGCCTCCTGAGGGGATCGAGGCTCTCCAAGTGGGGAGACTGAGACCGGACGGGCCAAAGCTCCAACAATCTCTCTCCCTCGCGGTTCAAACTGCAAGGTTCATGCAACTGCTCGAGAGCTCGCGGGAGATGGAGCTCAACCCACTGTTCGGACACACGCAGCGGCTGCAGTCCCTCTTGGGCCCCGGCGCAGGGGACTGGCTGCTCGCCGTCCCGCTGATCTCCTCCCTCCGCCTCGGGCCCTCTCAGTTCTCCACAGCGGCCTCCTTCCGCCTAGGCCTGCCCCTACCTGTGCCAAGGCGCTGTGACTGTAGATACCGCACCACATTCCCTGACGACCGTCTACCGAACCATTTGATGCGGTGCGAGAAAGGGGGGGGGAGAATTGCAACTCACAATGCCCTTCGGGACGAGTGCGCAAAGATAGCTGCGGAAGCGGGCTTCACCGTGCATAAGGAGACAACGGCTTACTCACCGGTCGAAAACCTCAAAGCGGATATCTCTATCCGCCATCCCGACACCGGTGAGGTGTGGATCTGTGACATCACGGTCACGGACCCCATCTCCCTCCAGGATGAATACGCCCGTAAAGCTCCCGGTTGGGCTGCTAGAATGCAGGCGGACAAGAAGGCAAGCAAATACGCCAGGCGGAGCGCTTGGGTGGGCTTTTACGCCCTCGCGGTTGAGACCTACGGTTACCCCTCGAGGGAAGTCCTGGAATTCCTTCGCAGCTGCGCGGAGTTAGCGGCCAGGCGGCGGTTCAACGCCACTCCCAAGTCGAGGGAATGCGCCAGGCTACTCACCGAGTACCGGCAGCGGTGGAGTGTGACCCTGCAGAGAGCGCAAGCCACTGCCCTCAGGGATAAGACCCATGAGGCCCTCACAGCGGATGTGCTCGGCCTGCAGGGCCCGTTTACTCCAATGAGCGAGGGGCAGCTGTATCAGTTGATAGAAGACCCCTCCGGCCATTAGGGCCGGGCGGGGAGGGGGGGGCTGGGGCTGGGGTAGTGCAAGGTTAGCTGTTGTTTTGCTGTAGCCTTGCTGCGAAACTGCTGTAGCCTTACCATGTGTGTACCTTGCTGACATTAATACCAAGGACCGTTAGAGAGAGAGGAAGAGAAAAGGGGGGATGGAAGGGTAGGAAGAGATCAAGAGAAGCAGTGGCAAGCAGTTGAAAAAGAAGGATGTCAAGAAAGCCAGCGCGAAGCAGAAAATCGCAGCACAGAACACAAAACGCAGCACACAGCACAAACAAAGCGTACAGGACATAGCTAGCACACAGCGCGCAGCGCAGATGATCGCAACACAGCACGCAGCTAGCTGGCAGCCCGGCACGGCACGCGGGTACACAGTGTGTCTCACATGGTGTCGACGTTTCCCTGTGCATCGCACGAGATCCTATCAGCCAGCAGGCAGTCCGCGCCTGCCGTCCACCCGCTGAAGGGTGCAATGTTCAGCGCCGCCGCGCACTCCTGTAGGACCGCCGCTGCGACGCGGGAAGGAAACGCGGGAAACGCGGGCAATTGCAGCCAAGCGAGGAAATTACTGCGGGAGATTGCGGGGAACGCGGGCAGCACCGGCCACGCCGGAAGCGTGGCGGACTTGGCAGATAGCACATCCTGCGTGGCCGGCGGACATCGGAGATAGCACGGTGTAACACGCGCAACGTACAACCGAGGATTTCAACGGTCGCACGGAATGGGGCGGTCCACTCTGGAAAATGAGGGCATGCTGGTTGAACGCACACAGCAGTTGTAACGCCTGTGGGCTGTGTTGAGGGCATTCCGCTGCGCCTAAAAACATTTTGAGGCGCCTCAAAATGCACCTCACTTTTGAGGCGCCTCAAAACGCCTGTGGGCTGTGTTGAGGGCATTCCGCTGCACCTAAAAACACCCTAGTTTTGACCCAGTGAGAAGCGAGGCGTTATAGGAGTGCACGTTAGTACCGCACAGCCGCACGACTACACAACCCCCACCTTGGGACGCTTGTAGAGGAATCGCGCTACGGGCGTGCGGAAGGAGCGCCATTGCCGCTACCACCAACACAAGCGCGCGCGCGCGGAAAGCATGAAAGGCCCCACGGCGCGAGTCCACCGTGAAACCCCGCCATTCGCATGCAGCCCCCGCCGCTCTCCGCCCATACACATCTTCCCGCGGGCGACCACATCCCGAAAAAAACGCCTCTCAAAGAGCCTCTCGGGATCAGCGCCGCTCGTTTCGCCATGGCTACCCAGTTACTGGGTTGTCGTAACCATTACTTTGTTTAGTGCGTGAGCGGGGAGAGTCTTGGAGGAATGAAAGCAAGGACACAATGAGGCTCCCATCCCATCCCACCCACCACTGAAATGAGAGTTGATTGGTTGGTTGGGAAGCTATTTGTCGAATGCTTCACGCGCTTCGCTGATCCGAACTGTGCGCAAATTGCACAATAGCCAAGATTCGCAAGGGGGTGAGGTGAACTAAATGTATAATAGTAGCATGCAACAAGATTAAGAAAATGAAAGTGACTTTTATCTCACACCATGCCAACACAGAATATCCCCAACTCCTCTCCCCTCCTCCCCAACCGCGCTCCAACAGAGGAGCATCACAAGCAGCAGTAGAGAGGGCATTGCGCTCAGCGATCCTCGCAATGCTCTGTATATGGTTGCTTTAAGCAGGTCCCACTTTCAATCTACAGATCAGCCACAAACCTGCCACTATCTTCTTCCTCTAAAAGCCAGTCAAGCTTTGCATCTAACGCATTCTGACTGAAACCCTCCAAAAACACATCCCCATGCTCCCCACCCTGCTGCTCTGCAGCATCCCCACCACCTGCTGCACTGTGCATGTCACCACCCCTGCTGGTGCCTACGTTGGCCGGCAGGGCAGGGCGTGGGTGGGCGGAGAGGGAGCGCTTGAGAGCCTTGATGGAGCGGAGCAGGTCGGTGACAGTGGGGCGGGAGAGGGGGTCGGAAGCGGTGCAGGAGAGGGCGAGGCGCACCATGGGCAGCACGATGGCGTCGGGTGCTGAGGGCAGGTGGGCCGCGCGCAGGTTGGCTGTGATGTTGCGCGATACCATGTGCTGTGCCTGCATGCACAGGGATGGGAATTTGCGACAAGTAGGAGGAATTATAGGGAGGAGATGGATGCAGGATTGGGAAGAGATGTTGTGCATCCATAGAGGAGGACGCACCGGACTTGTGGTGTGGTGTGGCATGGCGGGTGAGTGCTAGGGGCACGAGTAGTCAGCGAAGCATGGAATGTGCATATGCAGCTGATGCATGTGCAGTGGGTGTATGGTGGAGTGTAGCTTTTCTTTCCTAGATATTACCTGTATAAAGTCTATATCTATGCTTTTCAGCCGTACCATGATTTTCGTAAGTGTCGGTTCTAGTTTTCAGAGCATCGCTATTGTTTGAACCCTGTGAGCTCACACCGAACTCACCCATTCTCGAATGTGCTCTGAGCTGCTGCTACTGCTCATGCTGCTGCTGCTGCTGCTGTTGTAACTGTTTGTTCGCACGCTGTTGCTGCTGTTGCTGCTGTAGCTGTTTGTGCTGATGCTGTTGCTGCTGTTGCTGCTGCTGCCACCTCCCCCGCTGCCAGAGCTGGTGCCTTGGCGATCGTCATTGCCTGCAGCTGTGGGTATCAAGGCGGGCCGTCCGGTGATGAGCTGTAGCATCACCACACCAATGCTGGCAGGTGGGGATGGGGGGATGGGGGGAGAGTGGAGACGAAAGTAGGGGCGGGAGGAGAGAAGTAAGGCCATGGAGTGGAGCAGGGGAGAGGCGGGCATTTGACTGAGAGTTGAGTTGAGCAGCAACAAGCACGAGTGGCAGCATCATATGTGAGCAGCAGCAACATGTGGCGGCTCCCATCTTCCAGTGGATTCAACTTCTTGAGTGGGAGAGACCGTGAGTCGCATTTGAGACGTCTCAAAAGTTGAGCAGCACGAACGGACCTGAAGACATCGGAGGAGGGCGTGGTGCGAGCAGAGGCAAGCAGGATTGGGTCCATGTATGCATGGTTGGCTGGTGGCCGTGTGAACCTCCCTGCTGATCCCACAGATGCACCTGCTGATGCTGATAGTGCTGTTGGTGATGCTGATGCTGATGGTGGTGGTGGTGGTGGTGCTGCTGCTGCTGCTGCTGCTGCTGCTGCTGTGGGGATGGATGGGAGTGGGTCCCCCATTTTCACGGCCATGCAACCAGCCAAGACAGGCTGAGGGTAAGGCATGGGCATGGGTTAGCGGGGAGGCGAGGGGCAAGAAGCGGCGTGAATGGATTGCAGGGGTAAAGGGAGAGACGCAGCTGCTGGTCGATGGGATGAGGAGGACAGAATTGAAAGAATGGGAAAAAGTCAAGTGTGTGTGGCAAAACTGGTGAGTGTCACTGCACCTGCACGACAAGTGGCACTTATCCCAAATGGCAGATGGGAGATCAACTGCACCTCACTTCACCCATCATTCACTTCACGTGCACGAATTGGCTACTGGAGTTCATGTCACCTGAGGGCAGATGAGAGTTCACCTGCAAGTCACTTCGCATGGCAAACAGGACGTCACCTGCAGGGCGGTGTCAAGCAGGATGTTGCGAGGGTGTATGCGGCCATGCACGACCCCATGGCTCTGGATGTGCTTCAGCCCTCGCAGCACACCCGCGGTCACATCCAGGCACTGCCATGCGGACAGAGGCGAGCAACCCTCTGCACGGCGGGAGGACGAGGGGGACAAGGGCAAGTAAAGGGGAGTAGAGGGGAGAAGAGTGGAGGAGTAAGTAAGAGGTGTGGTGGGGATAACACGGAGCAAAGTGGGTGGTGAAAAATGAGTGCTCTGGCAGAGGGGATCAGAGAATCACCGGCAGAGGCTGGAGTGCAATGGGCAAGCTTAGAGGCAGAGTCATGGTGGGAGGGATAGGCATGGAGAGAGTAAGTTGGGGGGAAGGGGGTCCAGGAGTGGATGCACCTGCAACGAGGCGGCTGTGCAGGTTGCCTCCTGGCACCCACTCAAACACTAGCACCTGCTCCTCCTCTGCTTGCTCCACCGGATGACTGGTAGCAGCATCAGCACCAGCCCTCTCAGCACTACCAACAGCAGCAGCATCAGCAGCAGGCGAATCACTGCCACGCTTCTCCCAACAATACCCCAGCAGTGGCTGCAGGTTGGTATGGCGGATGGACCAAAGCGTGGCCACCTGGGCAGGGAAGGGCGCACCCAATAGGAAGGAGAGGTGGGGGGGATAGAGGGGCAAGTTGTAAGATGCACCAAAACGGGCTCCACCTCCGCCCGCCGCTGCCGCCACAGCATCAGCAGCAGAGGAGAACCATACCCAGCTCCCTCACCTCTTTCTGGAAGTCTGTGGAAAGCTCGTCGTTGCCGCGCCTCACTACGAACCACACCTGGCGGGCATCGAGAGGACTCACTGCCTTGTACCTCTGCCCCTCACTGCTGCTGCTGCCAATAATGCTGCTAGTGGTGCTGCCGCTAATGCTGCTCCACCCCTGCTTCTCCACCCTGCTAGCCTCACTCCACCCACCCGTTGCTTGTGCCACGAGAGACACGGGGAACTTTGGACAGCGGGCGCGACCGAAGACACGGGATGCTGACGTGGAGGAAGGTGAGGGGGAGAGAGAGGAGAGAGGGGGATGAAGGGGGGATGGAAAGCGAGTGGGGAATATGATGGTGAGAGGTGGGTGAGAGGGCGAATGATAACTGCGGTGACAGGCATCCTATGAGGAACTACCATGGGCACAGTAAACATCTGTGGCGGTGGCAGCAGCAGCAGCAGCGGCAGCGGCGGCAGCAGCAGGGAAAGGGGGGTGGCTGGCAGCAGTGTGTTGTAGATAGGAAAGAAGCTAATGACATATAATGACAGATAATGAGAAACACGGACAAGCGTCACGAGCAGAACGAGGGAAAACCAGAACCAATGGCCAACCCAACCCACCAGAGCCACCACCAGTGACACATACCCCTCCCATAGTGCCATCCATGACACACAATACAACTACCGTGAAGAGTCGTGGCACAATACTTAACTTGCTCTTACCTGAGGCTGCTAGTGGCTGTAACTCCGTTCCTTGGGCTCCCCGCTTCACATACACCGCAGCCACGACAGCAGCAGCAGCAGCAGCCAGGAGCAGGCACAACGCTCCCACGGTTATCCCCACGATTGCAGAGGTTGGCAAACCGGTGGAGGGTGGAGGAGCAGGAGGGGCGAGTGGAGAGGAGACGGCAATAAGAGTGGACAGAGGAGGAGGCGGGGGGGTCATGAGGGCGAGGCTTGGAGCAAGAGGAGGTGAGAGTGGAGGAGGGGGAGGAGGGTTGCGATGTTGGCCTGTGGGGAGGGAAATGTGGTGCAAAGGGGTTGAGGAGGGCGACAGCTGCTGCTGTGATGGGGAGCTGTGATGGCAACACAAAATTTCAGATGACACGTCGGGTTATTTGATGAACGCCATGAAGACAGACGAGTGCCATGATGACTGTCAGAAGCTACAAAGCCTGTCAGTCAGATACCACATTTGCGAAGGCACACGAGAAGAGAAGCCATTCCTTTCGCAGTGCGAGCCACGCAGGCAAGCAGAGACATGAAGAACCATTCACTTCTTCACCGTTGAGAGGGATGCAGGAGGTACAGAACTTGAAGCAGAGAGCCTGGCAGAAGAAGGAGGAGGCGTTCTGCTGAATCTCACAGCTGCTGCCAGCCCTGCCGCATGTCACCCCTCCAGGGATGAATCTGAAAGGGGAAAGATGGTAGGTAGGCGTGTAGGGAAGAGTAGAGGGGAAGAGTGTGGAGTTCTGTGGCACGGATAAAACGCAAGGAAATTGGCCAGAGATGCGTAAGCGTTGTGATGGGAACGAAGGATGCCATGGAGTGCAGGTTGAGAGGGAATGCAGGGGACTGACACTTTACTGAGTTTGGGGAGAGCACCAAGGGAGGCTGGCAGCGGCCCAGACACGTTGGTGTTGGCGATGGTCCTGAGACGGGGCGGTTGTGGGGTGAGCGACAGAAGGAACAGGACAGGCAGAAGGAACGGGACAGGCAGAAGGAACAGGACAGGCAGAAGGAACAGGACAGGCAGAAGGAACAGGACAGGCAGAAGGAACAGGACAGGCAGAAGGAACAGGACAGGCAGAAGGAACAGGACAGGCAGCAGGAACAGGACAGGCAGCAGGAACAGGACAGGCAGCAGGAACAGGACAGGCAGCAGGAACAAGGAGAGTCATGATGGCACCCTGGTACGAACAGAACATCATTTTGAGTTTCTGGAAATTTTGAAAGTTGGTCACTGGTGGAGTTAACCAGTAGTCATGGATTGAAGTGGACTCACAGGCTGTGTGCACACACCTGTTCGTACTGGTAAGGTGGTGTGCGTGCATGTGTGTGTGTGTGTGTGTATGCGTGTGCGTGCGTGTGTGTGTGTGTGTGTGTGTGTGTGTGTGTGTGTGCTGACATCCCCCCCACATACAAGTACACGAGACTGGCGAGCTGACCAACAGTACTGGGGATTGTGCCACTGAGGCGAGTGTTGGCCGCGTCACTGGCATGCAGCACATTGGCACGTGGCCGACGGTAGTCACATGAACGCACGGTAGTATGCAGAGAAAAATGGGAGGGCAGGCAGACAACAAGGCATGCAATTGGTGGGATGAGTTGATGATTATTTTGAATCCAGAGGCTGCTCGTTTTTTGCTGCTGTTGGTTATGATGATGGTGGGAGTTGAGGGGGAAGGAGGAGGAGGAGGAGGAGGAGGAGGAGGAGGAGGAGGAGGAGGAGGAGGAGGAGGAGGAGGAGGAGGAGGAGGAGGAGGAGGAGGAAGAGGAGGAGGAGGAGGAGGAGGAGGAGGAGGAGGAGGAGGAGGAGGAGGAGGAGGAGGAGGAGGAGGAGGAGGAGGAGGGGGAGGAGGAGGAGGAGGAGGAGGAGGAGGAGGAGGAGGAGGAGGAGGAGGAGGAGGAGGAGGAGGAGGAGGAGGAGGAGGAGGAGGAGGAAGAGGAGGAGGGTGAAGAAGAGGGTTGGTTCGATTTCCATCTCTTTCTTCTTATTCTTCTTTTTTCCTGCCTTCAACCCTTTCCTTTGTGTTCCTCTGTGTTCGTTTCGCAGCATGAGAGGTAAATGTGACTCACGCTGAGAAAACGCTCCAGTGAGAAAACGCCTGATATTTTTTACCCAGACCATAAGGCGTGTGAGCAGAGCCGAGAAGGACCCAGAGGCAGGTTTAGGCACAACAGAATACAGTCTTGGCAGGTATGGGAGGGATCGGAGGGATGGGAGGGGATGGGAGGGAATGGGAGGGATGGGAGGGGATGGGAGGGAATGGGAGGGATGGGAAGGATGGGAAGGATGGAGAGCACTGACAGAGAGCTGAGAGAGGAGAGGCCGGAGATGGTGGAGGGGATGGTTCCTGACATGCTGGAATGGGATATCGACCTGACCAAGGGATATGAGGGGTGTGGTGTGGAGCATGGAGAGAGGAGCGGGTGGAGTGAAAATGCAAGGCGCGGGATAGCAGATCATGACACTTGTGCATTTTGAGAAATCTCAAGAATCTTGTGCTCACAAGACACGGGATAACAGATTGTGGCACTTGTGCTGCTGTTGACTGACCACATGCTTGCATAGCAGCGCCCATGCATAGCAGCGCCCATGCATAGCAGCGCCCATGCATAGCAGCACCCATGCATAGCAGCGCCCATGCATAGCAGCGCCCATGCATAGCAGCGCCCATGCATAGCAGCGCCCATGCACAGTTACAAAGTATCGAGGTTCTTGAGTGCCCCGATGAAGGAGGGAATGGGTCCGGAGATCAGGGTGTGATCAAAGTTCCTGCCATGGGACATGTGCCATGCGGCAGGCATGGGCGTGATGTGATGTGACATGCATGCAGCACATGACGTGTAATGCCATGTGGTATATGGTGTGTGGCATGCATGATTGTGTTCATCAGGCGGGTAGTGGTAGCAGTCATTCTATTCTAAACAGGGCAAGGCTTATGACAAAACAAAATGGGACAAAGTTCTCAGCAATATAACCATGATACTTCTTAGAACAATTTGTCGTAGCCTTAACGATTTTGACTTAGATCCTGAGGGTTGGAGAAAATCACTCACAGAACACTTAGCTGAGAGAGTCGTGTGATGCTAGAGGGGATGGACCCGGAAAAATTATTCCAGGAGGCGCCACTAGCGGGAGGGCGAAGGCAGAGGGTCAGAGGGCAGAGAATAGCAGGTAGAGAGTGAGCAGTGAGAGCGAAGCTTCATAGGATCCGAAGCTGCAGAAAGTGCGGTTTGATGGGAGCGAGGTGGTATTTGAAAAACAAGAGAATGAAAGACACAAGCCTTTACCTTCCACCATCATCCTCCCTGCCTGCTCTGCGCCCGAAACTGCACTGCACTGCACTGCACTGCACTACACAGCACGGCATCACACTGCACCGCACTGCAACTCCACTCTTTATTTCCCTCCACCCTCGAACGGTCCTTCGTATTAGTTTCACAGCAGGTACAAGCAAGGGGGGAAAGCAATGAGAATGCATCAATCGTGCTTATTCTTCCCTTGAGTCACCTACCGCCCCTCCAAGGTCTGGCGTAGGTTTCCAAACTGTAGCGGCCATGGGTCCGCGAGGCTGCGGAATGGGCCATCTCTATCGCATGACAATAGCCTCCCTCTCTGGCCACGTGTTTGCCTGGTCGCTCCTGCTGGGTCGGCGTGCCTGGTTGTCATTTGGTGCTGTGTCCATGTGTCCTGCTGCACGCCTGCTGATATTGATTCTAACGATAGGGACTGGCACACGTGTTTTCAAGGCGCCTCAACGGTTGAAGCACAGAGAAAGGGCTGCCACTGTGACACGCACAAGAAGGTGAGTGCGGTGAGGCTGGCGATGCTGGTGGGGATGGGGCCGTTCAGGTTCAAACCCAGTAGGTTCCTGCGGCCATGGTGGGGATGGAAGGGAAGGCCCGTTTGTTTGTGTGCGCGCAGGTGCGGGTGCGTGCGGATGCGCGCGTGTGTGCATGCGTGCGTGCGTGCGTGCGTGCGTGCGTGCTTGTGTGTATGGAAGGGTAGGGGCTCAAGAGAAGTCACATGCATTTAAAACGAGATTGTTGTCGAGGCCACCAATTCGAAGCCGAAAATCGCAGCACAGAACACAACACGCAGCATACAGTACACATGGCATACAGGCGCACCGCAGAGCGCACAGCACGCAGCTGAGTGTGCGGGGCAGTACATGGCAGTGCACGCGGGGTCCAGTGTGTGTCTCACAGGCTCTCGATCTTCCCCTCTGCATTGCATATGATGTTGTCAGCTATTTGGCAGTCCGCGCCTGCCGTCCACCCGCTGAAGGTCCTGTTCCACGCCGCCGCGCACTCCTGCAGCGCCGCCGCTGCCACGCAACGCGAACGCGGGTAGCGCGAGCAACTGCTGGAAAGTGAGGCACTTACTACGGGAGGTTGCGGGCAACAACGTGGGCAACGCGGGTCACGCAAGAAAATCGGGGCGGACGTCGCAGATAGCACAGGTGACACGCCGTGTAACGTACAGCCAAGGCGGCATAACGCGAAACGGTCGTGATGGGATCATGATGATGGGGTGGTCCACTCAGAGAGGCAATGCCGCAGCATGCTAGCTGAACGCACACAGCAGTGCACGTTACCGCACAGCACCACTGCACAACCCCCACCTTGGGACGCTTGTAACGGAACTGCGCTATGGACGTGCGGAAGAATCGCCATTGCCGCTACAACCAACAGCAGCGGCGGCGCACGCGCCCGCAAAGCATGGAAACCTCCACGCCGCGAATTCGTATAACCCCGCCACTCGCATTCGCCCCCCGCCGTTTTCCGCCAATCCACATCTTCACGCGGGCGGCCACATCCCGAAAAAACGGCTCTCAAAGAGCCTCTCGGGATGAGCGTCGCTCGCATTGACATGGCCTCCATGTCAGTGGGTTGTTGTAACCATGACCTCGTTTAGTGCAAGGACGGGATCCTAAGAGGGAAGGAATGGAAAGAGGAAGCTGCCACCCACCACAAGAGTTCATTGACCACAAATCTTTTTTATTCGGCAAAGTTTCCGTTCAAGGTGGCTGTCCTCAAGCAGCTTACGACTGAAGACGATGGGTGTTCAGTGTCTGATAATTCTAACATTAAGTGCTAACATAGGGGATCTTTGGCGACGAGGCAAAAAGGTGGAAACTTAACGTAGTTCAACAAAAAGTGCGAAAACAAGAGACATAAAGCGGGACAATCAATGTCATGGAATCTGGATCAGACCAGATTGAATTCCACGAGGCTGTATCCAAAAAAACCCGGAGTTGCGGGTCCAAACCTTGGAGAAACACATGACAAGCGGTGGCGTACAGTGTCTCGAATGCTGCACGCGCTTCGGTGATCCGAATCGTGCGCAAATTGCACAATTGCCAAAACTCGCAAGGGGGTGTATCGAACGTAGAAAAGCAGAATACACTATATAGGCAAACTTTTACATTTGCCTATTAAGGATTTGCTAAACCTCTCCCCTCTCCCCAAACCGCTCTCCTACAGGGCAGCTTCACGAGCAGCAATAAAGAAAGGGTTGTGTTAAGGATCCTCATTGGCAGGCTCTCCTGTTTGCAGATGTTTACGGTCGCTTTAACCAGGTCTCACTTTCTCTCTACAAATCGACCACAAACCTACCACTATCTTATCCTCCAGAAGCCAGTCTAACTTTGCGTCTAGTGCATTCAGACTGAAACCCCCAGAAAGCCCATCCCCACCCTCCCCACCCTGCTTCTCTCCAGGCCCCCCACTGCCTGCAGCATTGGCCATGTCACCATCCCTGCTCGCCCCTGTGTGGCCTGGCAGGGCAGGGCGCGGGAGGGCGGAGAGGGAGCGCTTGAGGGCCTTGATGGAGCGGAGCAGGTCGGTGACAGTGGGGCGGGAGAGGGGGTCGGAAGCGGTGCAGGAGAGGGCGAGGCGCACCATGGGCAGCATGATGGCGTCGGGTGCTGAGGGCAGGTGGGCGGCGCGAAGCTGGGCTGTCATGTTGCGCGATACCATGTGGTGTGCCTGCATGCATGGGGATAGGCGAAGGAGGAATGACAGGGAGGAGAGGGATGCATGAGTGGCATGCACCAGTGTTTGTTGTGGATCCATAGAGGCGGATGCACTGGTGTTGTGGCGTGGCGTGGCTGGTGCGTGTTAAGCTCAAATGTATTGTGCAATGGCATGAGAGGAGAGAGAGAAAGAGAGAGCGTGTGCGAATTCCATGTGCAGTGTGCATGCACACACGGGGCCACCTTCCTGCAGCAGCTCTGCATGTCTTACACATGTCAGAAACAACAAGAAGAACCACCCTGGGAGCAGCCCACACTGCACTCACCCAGGCCCGAATGTGCACTGAGCTACTGTCACTGAAGACGCTGCTCATGCTGCTGCTGCTGTTGTAGCTGTTGCTGCTGTTGCTGCTACTGCCACCAGGGGTGCCAGAGCTGTTGCCTTGCCGATCATTGCCAGCATCTCTTGGTATCAAGGCGGGGCGTCCGGTGATGAGCTGCAGCATCACCACACCGATGCTGACGGGCGGGGATGGGGGGATGCGGGATTTGGAGAGAAAAGAAGAGGCGGGAGGAGGGAAGGAAAAGGCGCTCAGCTGGTTTAGTTGCGGCACAAGCACATGTGTTCAGCATCAGAATAAACGGTTCATGCTTTTGAGTCGGGGGCATTTGGTTTGGACGGGTAGAGGAATGAACTCGCTAAACGCACAGTGTAAGCAATGGGAGAGGAGCCGGGTAGAGAGGGCGGGGAGAGGGGACAGAAAGAGGGCGACAGGTAGAGGTACATAAAAAGAAAAGGTAGTTCCAGTCGAGCAGCACGGACCTGAAGACATCTGTGGAGGGCGTGGTGCGAGCAGAGGCATGCAGGATTGGGTCCATGTATGCATGGCCGGCAGGTGGCCGTGTGACCCTCCCTGCTGATTGTGCTGATGCTGCTGCTGCTGGTGGTGCTGCTGCTGCAGGTGCTGCTGCCGTGGGGATGGATGGGAGTGGGTTGCCCATTTTCACGGCCATGCAACCAGCCAAGACAGGCTGAGGGTAGCGGGGAGGCGAGGGGAGGGAAGAAGTGAGAATGCAATGCAGGGGGTCAGGGAGAGATGCCGCTGGGATGAGGAAGACAGAGTTGGTAGAATGGAAAGAGCTTAGTGTTCCTAGAGAAAGCTTAGTGTGTCACTCCCCCTGCATCCCAATAAAGACTTTTCCTGCATGGCAGACAGGACTTAACCTGCAGGGCGGTGTCAAGCAGGATGTTGCGTGGGTGTATGCGGCCATGCACGACCCCATGGCTCTGGATGTGCTTCAGCCCTCGCAGCACACCCCCTGTCACATCCAGGCACTGCCACACCGACAGAGGGGCGCTGCCCTCTGCATGGCGGGAGATAGTACGTGGTGTTTTGGAGGAGGAGGGGGCAGAGGGAATAAGAGAGGGACAGAGGGGAGGAGGGGGAGAGAGGGGTTGAGGGAGGGGAGGAGAGGGAGAGGGGTTGAGAGAGGGGAGGAAAAGCGACAGTACGGACAGAGGGGAACAGAGGGGAGGAGAAGGGAGCAGAGGGGAACATTGTGAGATGGCAGAGAAAAAGGGTGGTGGGGAATGATAATGAAAGGAACCGGGGAAAGCATGGACCGAAAAAGGTGGTGGGGAATGAGTGGCCTGGCACAGTGGATCAGACAAGCACCGGCAGAGGCTGGCATGCAATAAACAAGCAGAGATGAAGAGGGAGGGATAGGCATGGAGAGAGTAAGGAGAGGGCAGGGGGCCAAGAGTTGATGTACCTGCAACAAGGCGGCAGTGCAGATTGCCTCCTGGCACCCACTCAAACACTAGCACCTGCTCCTCCTCTGCTTGCTCCACCGCATGATCAGCAGCAGCAGCAGTATTAGCACTAACACTCTCAACACTATCAGCAGTAGCACTCTTAGCACTATCAGCAGATAGACCAGGAGCAGGAGCAGCAGCAGCAGCACCACCACCACAACCAGCACCAGAAGAAGTAGCATCAGCAGCAGAAGCAGCAGGCGATTCACAGTCAAGGGCGCTGGAACCCTTCTCCCAGCAATGTCCCAGCAGTCGCTGCAGGTTGGTATGGCGGATGGACCAAAGCGTGGCCACCTGGGCAGGGAAGGAAGCACCCACAAGGAGGGGCGGATACAAGGGCACGATGTACACAACACGATACAATACTAGCACTGGAACCAGAATTTCTGGAGCAGCATTGGTGGTAGCGGCTGCGGCAGCTACAGCAGAAGCAGCAGCAGCAGCAGCAGCAGCAGCAGCAGCAGCAGCAGCAGCAGCAGCAGCAGCAGCAGCAGCAGCAGCAGCAGCAGCAGCAGCACCAGCAGCAGCAGCAGCCGAAGCAACAACAGCAGCAGCAGTGGAGAGCTATCCACAGCTCTCTCACCTCTTTCTGAAAGTCTGTGGAAAGCTCGTCGTTGCCGCGCCTCACAACGAACCACACCTGGCGCGCTTCGAGAGGACTCACTGCCTTGTACCTCTGCCCCCCACTGCTGCTGCTGCCAATGCTGCTAGCCTCACTCCACCCACCCTTTGCTTGTGCCACGAGAGACACGGGGAACTTGGGACAGCGGGCACGATTGAAGACACGGGATGCTGGAGTGGAGGAACGAGAGGGGGAGAGTGGAAAAGGGAGATAGGAGAGGGGTTTTTCAGGCGAGGAGGGAAAGAGAGTGGGCAGTTGATGGTGCGGTGATGGTGAGAGTGGGGCAGTTGATGGTGAGGTGATGGTGAAAAAGATGATGGTGGCTGGCTGCAGCAATGTGTGGGGCGAATGCTTAAGGCAGTGACAGGCTTCGAACGAGGATCTATGATGACAATGTAAATAGCGGGAGCAGGGGCAGCAGGGGCAGCAGCTGAGCAGCAGCATGCCACATGCCCCTAAGAGCCAGCCATGCCACACACATACCTCTTAGAGCCGTGGCACAGTGCTGAACCTACTCTTCCTTACCTGAGGCAGCTAGTAGTGGCTGCAGGTTCGACCCCTGGGGTCCCCGTCCCATACAACCAGCAGCCACGACAGCAGCAACAGCAGCAGCCACAAGCAGGCACAACGCTCCCACGGATATCCCCACGATTGCAGAGGTTGGCAAACCGGTGGAGGGTGGAGGAGCAGGAGGAGGGGCGAGCGGAGAGGAGACGGCAAGAAGAGAGGTGAGAGGAGGAGGTGGAGGGCTCATGAGAGCGAGGCTGGGAGGGAGAGGAGGTGAGAGGAGAGGAGGGGGAGGAGGGTGGCGGAGTTGGCCTGTGGGGGAAGAGGTGGGGAGGGAAGTGGGGCTTGAAGGAATTGTGGAGGGGAAGAGCAGCTGCTGTGATGTGATGGCAACTTGTGATGCCAGTACAAAGTGGCAGATCTAGTTTTGAGGCGCCTCAAAACCAGCTGCTGTGATGGCAACTTGTGATGGCACGTTGGTTCTTAGACGTCGATTTTCAAATACCAGATACCAAACGAAGGTACACGCAAAGATATTTCACTTTCAGTGAGAGATACGCAGGCAGGCAGAGACACGAAAAACCATTCACTTTTTCACCGTTGATTGGGATGCAGGAGGCACAGAAGTCAAAGCAGAGAACCCGGCAGAAGAAGGAGGAGGCGTTCTGCTGAATCTCACAGCTGCTGCCAGCCCTGCCGCATGTCACCCCTACAGGGAAGTCCCTGGACGGGCAAGATGACAGGGGAGTATTGGAGAGTAGCAGGGAAGAGTTGTGGGGAAGACTGTAGAAATGCAACTGACCAAAGATTCGTAGGCAATGATGGTTTCACTTCTGTACTACGAATTTCTTTGCTTCAGAATTCTCACATATGTTTATTGATACCCCAACGGACGCCTCCTGCCTTTGATGCCTTCCAACGCAAGAGACTGAAGAGTTCTTTGAGAATTCAAAAAAAATACTCTACATTTTCAATGCAAGAAACTGAAGAGTTTCTTTGAGAATTCTCAAAAATACTCTACATTTCCAATGCAAGAAACTGAAGAGTTTCCGACCGCAGCAAGCCTACGGACCCGGATCTGACGTCCACTTTTGAGTGGACTCAAAAGCTTCCTTGAGAAAACTGGCATGAAAGGTGAGGTGAGGAATAACGCATCGAGTGGCATGCCTGTGCGTGGAGACTCACGGCATCAAGGCAGCACCTAGGTGAGGAAAGTCCCTACAAGGGCTTGAAACACATGCATGCACATACTAAACACCCCCCTCCCCCCCCCACACACACTCACGCACACACGCACACACACCCACGCGCGCGCACACACACACACACACACACACACACACATGCACGCGCGCACGCGCGCACACACGCACACACCCACACCCACACGCACACGCACATACACCCAAAGAATGTGGTGCGTGATGGAGGGCAGGGTGAGACGCAGTGCAGAGGGGCTCACACTCTAATGAGATTGGCGAGAGCACCAAGGGAGGCTGGCAGCGACCCAGACACGTTGGTGTTGGCGGTGAGTCTGTAACAGCGCGGTTGCTGTGGGGTGAGCGACGACGGGCAGATGGAGAGGAGTAGGTGGGGTGAGGAAAAGTCATGCTGGTATCCTGGTAAGGATAATGACACAAGTCGAGGAGATAAGTTTATGCCTTTTTTTCTTTCTTTTTTTACAATTAAACAGTTGTAAAAATGAATGGGTTTGCGCAGAAGCGGGTCAGGTGACTCAAGGGCCACGTGCACGCACTGTTCTGTACTGGTAAGGTTGTGTGTGTGCGTCCATGAACGTGGGTGCATGGGTGTGTGCGTGGGTGCGCGCGCGCGCACGCGCGCGTGTGTGTGTGCGCGTGTGTGCATGCGTGCACGTGCGCGTGCCTGCGTGCGACCATGTGCATACGTGTGCATGAATGCATGAGTGTGTGACAGCTCTTGCATGCTCAACCCAGCACCACATACAAGTACTGGAGGCTGGAAAGCCGACCAATAGTACTGGGGATGGTGCCACTGAGGCGAGTCCGGGAAACGTCGCTGGAATGCAGCGCATTGCAATGCAACAGGGAAGACACACGACAGTATGCAGAGGGAAATGGGAGGGCAGACAACAGGGCACGCAATTGGTGGGATAATAAGTTCAAGACCAAACGCTCTGTCAGTAGCGGACAGGTGGGCTGTGGAATTCTTATTTCCATCAACTTGAGTGATTCTTAGAACAACAGATCAAACACCACGAAATGAATGAAGAGATGAGCCCGGTTAACTGCGAGCCAGAACGTTTTCTTAGAGAGCCAGTTTGATCAAATGGTCAGCTTAAAATCAGCAACACATGAAACAGTCTCGGTAGGGATGGGAGGTAGGGAAGGGGCTGACAAGTAGGTGAGAGAGGAGAGGGCGGAGAAGGTGGAGGGGATGGTTCCTGACATGCTGGTGTTGGCTATTATCCTGAGGAAGGGCCATGAGGGGTGTGGGGTTTGGAGAGGGGAGAAATGGAAGAGAGCGGGTGGAGGAATGGAAAACAGACCAACTAAAACGCGTGTGAATGGGGAGGGAGCGAATGGGGAGGGGAAAGAGAGAGCGGTACGCGAAAATTGTTGGGGTGAAAGCGAGAGGCGCGGGTGTGTGATCGTGGAGAGAGGACCGGTTGGAGTGAATGCATAAGGCACTGGATAGAGAGAAAATCAATGAGAGCTGTGCTGTTGACCACATACATGGCATGGCAGCACCCATGCACTGTAGCACCCATGCACTGTAGCACCCATGCACTGTAGCACCCATGCATTGTAGCACCCATGCACGGTAGCACCCATGCACTGTAGCACCCATGCACTGTAGCACCCATGCACTGTAGCACCCATGCATTGTGGCACCAATGCACTGTAGCACCCATGCACTGTAGCACCCATGCACTGTAGCACCCATGCATTGTAGCACCCATGCACTGTAGCACCCATGCACTGCAGCACCCATGCACTGCAGCACCCATGCACTGCAGCACCCATGCAAAGTTACAGTTCCCCGAGGTTCTTGAGAGCCGTGATGGTGGAGGGAATGGGTCCGGAAATCCTGGTTTCAGCAAAGCCCCTGCCACGTGCCATGTGGCGTGGGTGAGATGTGATGTGACAAGTATGCGGCACGTGGCGCGTGCCATGTGGCATGTGGCATGCATGATTCTGTTCGTCTGGCGGCTAGTGGCAGCAGCTCCTTTGAAATAGACAAGGGGCGCATATGACATTAAAAAATAAAAAAAACGTGACAAAGATATCGTCAGCAATATCACCATGAGACCTCTTAGAGAATCTTGTCTTAGCCTGAACAATCTTGTACCAGAATATAATCCTCCTGAGCAGGTGGTGAGAGGTGCTCACAGGTAATAGAGCTGGGAGAGGCGTGTGATGAAAGAGGGGAAGGTCCCAGCGAAGTTATTCGTGGTGAAGTCACTACAACCAGCAGAGCAGAGGGCAGAGGGCAGAGGGCAGGGCAGAGAGAGCGAACTAAACTGCGTGGAATCTAAAGCCGCGGTAATTGTGATCACCTGGGAGTGATAAGGTGGCGTACCTTAAACGCAAGAAATTGACAGGCACAGGCCTTAACCTTCTACAACCAATGGGTGCCCGCATCTTTTACTGCGACACGCACAACTGGGTGAGTGCAGTGAGGGTGGCGATGCTGGTGGGGATGGTACCGTTCAGATGTAAGCCCGAGAAGTTCCTGTGGCCATGGTGGGGTGGGGAGCAGAAAGAAGAGGAGGTCCGGTCCGTTCACAGGAGGACCAGACCAGCGTTTCCAGTGCAAGGAGAAGGAGTGATACCAATTGACCAAACCGATGATGATACCACTTCTTCCTTTCGGCCTCCCTGGAGCCCGGTGAAATTAGAAGTGTTTTGAGACGTCTCAAAACACCTCCCTGGAGCCCGGTGAAATTATAAGTGTTTTGATTGAGACGTCTCAAAACGCCTCCCAGGAGCCTGGCCCGGCTCTGCGTTGTGCAAGCGTCTCGTCTTGCAGCTAGCTTGGCGCAGAGCCACAGCCACAGGTGTTGAGGTAGGTACCCTGGGGCTGGGGGAGCAAATAGCCGTACGTACGTAGGTGCCAGCTGAGTCTGCGGCGATTTTGGCGCACTCGTCCTGTAGCACGTGATATGTGTGTGTGTGTGTGTGTGTGTGTGCCTGTGCGCGCGCCCCCCCCCTCTTTCCCCGTCCCCCAGCGAAGGAGGTGGTTCGGGTCCCGGCAGTCGCACGGCACACAGCACGGCACGCAGACACAGCACGCGCACACCCACAGCACGCGCACACCCACAGCACGCGCACACACACAGCACGCGCACACACACAGCACGCGCACACCCACAGCACGCGCACACACACAGCACGCGCACACCCACAGCACGCGCACACCCACAGCACGCGCACACCCACAGCACGCGCACACCCACAGCACGCGCACACCCACAGCACGCGCACACCCACAGCACGCACACACACACAGCACGCGCGCACCCACAGCACACGGCGCACAGAACACGGCAAACAGGGCACAGCAGGTAGCGCACGCGGGTACACAGTGTGTCTCACAGGGTGTCGATCTTTCCCTCTGCGTCGCACCCGACCAATTCAGCTAAGAGGCAGTCCCCGCCTGCCGTCCACCCGCTGAACGTCATGTTCCACGCCGCCTCGCACTCCTGCAGCACCGCCGCTGCCGCGCAAACACGGACAGCGCGGGAAACGCAGGAAGCACGGGTGACAGCGCAGGCAGCACGGGGAGAACGTGCAAATGTAAAGCCAAGGGATCACAGGATGGAAATGGTCGCAATGGGATGGGTTAGGTGAGGCAATGCCGCAAGATGCGCAGCCAGGCTGGCTGAACGCACACGGCAGTGCACGTTACCGCACAGCACCATTCCGCAATCCCCCACCTTGGGACGCTTGTAGCCGTACTGCGCTACAGACGTGCGCAAGAGGCGCCATTGTCGCTACAACCAACACCAGCGCACGCACGCGCCAAGCATGAAAACCCCGACGCCGCGAACCCGCGGTGAAACTCTGGCACTCGCATGCGCCCCGCACCGTTTTCCGCCTATCCACACCTTCCCGCGGCCGGCCACATCCCAATGAAAATGCTCTCGAAAAGCCTTTCGGGATGCGCGTTGCTCGCTCCGTCATGGCCTCGCAGTCGCTGGGATCCAGTATACATCTTGATTGCATGCGCTGGTGAAGTATAGGAGGAAAGAGAGAGTGGTAGGTAGAAGAAGCTGCCACCTACCCTCAGAGACTCAATGGAGAGATGATTCGTTGGGACTCTCAACTAGGGCGTTGCATTTCGCGGTGGATTTTTCCTCCCCCGCACGTACACTTCACCCCGAACTGAATTGGTTACGCGCTTCGGTGGTCCAGAATGTGCGTGAATTTGATTCGTGGGTTTCACTGCCATAGTTCTGGTGTTTATGCAAGTTCCCAATTCCAACGACAAAGAGGTGTAACCATCATGGGTACACTTATTAGTTGTTAACTGGAGAGTGCTAGGAATTCAATATCTAGTGATTACAACTACTTACAATATGATAATTTTGGGGAAAGAGGGGGGGGCGGTGCACGGGTCCCCGGTGCGCCGCGACAGGCGACGGAGCATGGCCGGGGCGGGGACGAGGCCGCTGGAGGCGGCGACGGGGCCGATAGGGGCGGCGACGGGGCCGCTGGAGGCGGCGACGGGGCCGCTGGAGGCGGCGATGGGGCCGATAGGGGCGGCAACGGGGCCGATAGGGGCGGCGACAGGGCCGCGAAGGGCGGCGACGGGGCCGCTAGGGGCGGCGACGGGGCCGATAGGGGCAGCGACGGGGCCGCGAAGGGCGGCGACGGGGTCGCGAAGAGGCCGCGAAGGGCCTCGAAGGGCGGCAACGGGGCCGCGAAGGGCGGCGACGGGGCCGCTAGGGGCGGCGACGGGGCCGCGAAGGGTGGCGATGGGGCCGCTAAGGGCGGCGACGGGGCCGCTAGGGGTGGCGCGAGGGGCCGTGAGAGGGGCCTCTAGAAGGGCGCGACGGGCCGCTAAGGGCAGGGGACGCGACGAGAGGGCGGCCCACGGGGCGCGCCTCGGGCAGGGGCGACTCGCGCTTCGGTCAGAAAAAAAAAATTCAGTGGTGGGCCTAAGGAAGCGTTCCCACTAGGGAACCTGCTCTATACCATGTGAAGAAATGAGGAATGAAGAAAGGAAGGAAGGAAGGAGTTTTACTAGCAAGCAGTTGAGTACATATAGCAAACCCTAAATTGGGCTGTACTCACTATTGAGTACCCCACTGCAGGCTAGACAGACATAACATTCTGACATTTACTTCCTCGTATTAAGCCACGGGCTCTTGGTTGGAGCCGCACTTTGGAAATCAAGAGTTGGCAAGCCTACTCAGGGAATGTCAAAAGGAAAAGCCACAAACAAAGACAACAAGAAGGGAAATCAAGAGGCAAAATCACGTGCAAGCTCGCTCAAAAAAAAAAAAAAAAAAAAAGAGGGGGGGGGGGGGGGATGGAAGGAGCGAGAGAGCAAGGTGACAAAAGGGTCCCAAAAGGAGGGACTGCCAAGGGGCAGATTCAGAGGTGCCAAGGCTCGGCACACCCATGCCAAGAATCACAAGGAAAGGCCAAGGAGGGGGGGTAGAGAGAGAAAGAGGGAGGAGGAGGTTGAATGGTACGGTGGCACACATATGCCCGCACCTACCCAACCCATCACTGAGTTGGACTAAAGGTAGCCATCACGGGACCACGAGTCTGAGAAAATGTGAACGAGAATGAATGATTAAGGAATGGAAGTGATACAAATGTGCAACCCTAGAAATGTGTACCCCATATAGGCTACCCCACTATAGCCTACACAATATGATAATTTGACACACCCCCATAGGCAAAGTGGGGGAGAACAAGGGGTCACAAGACTAGTCAAGCAAAGCAGACAAAGCTCAGGGTGGATCACAACGTCACCACACAGTCCGAGCACAAGGTCAAGGCCACAAGGCCAGTTCACATGCAGGAATACACATATATATATAAGGCTAAACAAGCAAGAGCAGGTATATATATATGTAAGAGTACAAGCAAGGTCAAGGGGTGAGCAAGTGAGGCAAGACAGGCACAAGACCCAGCTGAGTGCAGAAGCGCTGATGATCACAAGGCGGAAGTGCCTTGGTGAAAACATCAGCAGTGTTGGCCTCAGAGGCCACGTACGCAAGTCGCAACTGACCAAGCTACTGCAACTCACGAGCAAGAAAGTAGCGGAGAGCAATGTGCTTCGTTCTGTGCTCCAGGCGCTGCTCCCGACACAAGGCTAGCATGGCCTTGTTGTCTACGTACAGCACTGGAGGAGAACGAGGCGGCTCTCCGAGGTCAGTCAGCAGGTAGGTAAGCCAGCGAAGCTCCTGTGCAGCCATGGCCCCGGCGTAGATCTCAGCCTCACAACTGGAGCCGAGAACAGAAGACGAGCGAGTAGCCCGCCACGCAACAGAGCCGGAACCAAGGCTGAAGGTGTAACCCTGTGACGACCGCTGCGTAGCCTGGTCGTCTGCCCAAGAAGCGTCCGCGTGCCCAGTGAGGACCACTGGACTCCGCCCTCCAAGCACTAGCCCCATGCCCGACGTACTGCACAAGTAGCGCAACACCCTCTTCGCTGCAGCCATGTGCTCTGGTCTGTGTCTCCCAGGAGCAACATAGCGTGCAAGAATGCTAAGAGGGTATGCAAGGTCAGGTCGTGTGCAGGTCATCAGGTACATGAGGCAGCCAACAAGCTCTCGGTACGGGCCACTCGACTCTACGGACTCATCCGTGTGAAACAAGTGAACAGGAATGAATTGACTAAGTCAGGGTTGGGTACAAATACAACCCTAGAAAGCTGTACCCCATATGTGCTACCCCACTATAGCCTACAAACATGTATCAACTATGATAATCTGACACACCCCCATAGGCAAAGTGGGGGAGAACAAGGGGTCACAAGACCAGTCAAGCAAAGCAAAGCAAAGCAAGCTCAGGGTGGATCACAAAGTCACCACACAGTCCGAGCACAAGAGCAGGGCCAGAGGCCAGTTCACATGCAGGAGTACAGACATATATATAAAACTAGACAAACAAGAGCAGGTATATATATATGTCACAGTACAAGTGAAGTCAAGAGGAGAGCAAGTGAGGCAAGACAGGTACAAGACCCAGCTGGGTGCAAAAGCGCTGATGGTCACAAGGCGCGAGTGCCTTGGTGAACACATCAGCAGTGTTGGCCTCAGAGGCCACGTACGCAAGTCGCAACTGACCACGCTGCTGCAGCTCACGAGCAAGGAAGTAGCGGAGAGCAATGTGCTTCGTTCTGTGCTCCAAGCGCTGCTCTCGACACAAAGCCAGCATGGCCTTGTTGTCTACGTACAGCACTGGAGGAGAACGAGGCGGCTCTCCAAGGTCAGTCAGCAGGTAGGTGAGCCAGCGAAGCTCCTGTGCAGCCATGGCCCCGGCGTAGATCTCAGCCTCACAACTGGAGCCGAGAACCGAAGACGAGCGAGTAGACCGCCACGAGACAGAGCCGGAACCAAGGCTGAAGGTGTAACCCTGTGACGACCGCTGCGTAGCCTGGTCGTCAACCCAAGAAGCGTCCGCGTGGCCGGTAAGGACCACTGGACTCCGCCCTCCAAGCACTAGCCCCATGCCCGACGTACTGCACAGGTAGCGCAATACCCTCTTCGCTGCAGCCATGTGCTCCGGTCTGTGTCTCCCAGGAGCAACATAGCGTGCAAGAATGCTCGGAGGGTATGCAAGGTCAGGTCGTGTGCAGGTCATCAGGTACATGAGGCAGCCAACAAGCTCTGCATACGGACCACTCGACTCTACGGACTCATCCGAAGGCAGAGCTGAGAGTGAGTGGCGAGTAGGCAGAGGAGTGGCCTGAGGCGAGGAGTACGTAAAGCCGAAGCGCTGAAGGACCTGCTGCACCATGTGTGACTGAGTCAAGGTAATGGTGCGGCGTGCTCTGTCCCGAGTGATCTGCAAGCCAAGGTAGCTGCGCAGTTCACCCAGGTCTGTACACGTGTGTCTCTTCAGCAGCTCGGACTTCACGTAGGCGAGTCCAGCAGTGTCCGCTGTGGCAAAGACCAAGTCGTCGACGTACACGAGGATGTAGAACGGCGGCAGGGAAATGTCGGTGCGAAGAAACAGTGACGGGTCAGCAGTAGAAGGAGCAAACCCAAGAGCCGCAAGCGTAGTCCTCAGTGTGTCGTGCCACTCACGCGGTGCCTGGCGGAGACCGTAGACTGGCCGTCGGAGGCTCCACTGGGTGCCAGGAGGGAAAGTCCCAGTGAAGCCAGGTGGACGGCGAAGCCAGATCTCCTCGTGCAGGCTACCCTGCAAGAACGCAGTGCTGAAGTCGAGAGAGTGAAGCTCGTAGTCGCGCTGAGCGGCTATGTGCAGCAGCACCCGAAGAGTAGTCATCTTCGGGGTGGGAGAGAAGGTCTGAAAGTAGTCAACTCCCTGCCGCTGACTGAAGCCACGAGCAACGTACCGTGCCTTGAAGACAGGTGGAGAGCCCGGCGGCCGCTTCAACCTGAAGATCCACATGCCACTGACGATGTTCGCCCCAGGAGGGGGAACCGCGTCAACGTAGGTGCCTGTGGACTTCCAGGAAGCCATCTCTGCATCCATAGCTGCCTGCCATTGAGAGGAGTAGGGACCCTCTACGGCCTCCGTGTAAGAACGCGGAGTCGGGATGTCTAGTGCATCCGGGTCTCCCTTAGGGGCAAGCAGTACAGACGCGAGATGAGGTGAAGCAGCCGCTAGACACTGTAACTCCTCCTACCTGTCCTCTAGGACGTCCGTGCCAAGAGCACACTCACCCCCGACGGACGGAGGACAGACAGACGCAGACTCAGCAACAAGACTAGCAGCGTAGTCTAGACGACAGCGAGCAGCAAAGTCGACGAGCTCAGCGACAAGAGCAGACGCAGTAGTGGACTCAAAAGAGGGGTCAGTGACGACAGTAGCAAGCAGACGCGTGACAGTAGGACTGGCAGCACGAAGAGAGTCCGACTCAGGGTCGGCAAGCGCAGGAAGAGAGGACTCAGGAGGAGAAGGCAAAGGGGCACGCAGAGGAGCAGTGGACGGACGCAAAGACATCCGGTGCGTGCCAGGGACAGGAGGAGGACGCTGACGCGAACTGCGACCACTAGCGCGAGCAGCACGAACAGGCG